GGGGGGGATTTCGCACCTCTGCTGCTTCACATTGTCGTGTCGAGCCATCGGTGCAAAATCTTGTGAAGCCATGAAGTCATACCAGTCAAAGGTTATAGAAACTACTTGTCAGCTCTTGTAAAAAATACCTGCAACCTTTGCAAAGCAATTAACACGTCAATGAAGAGCAGCGAAAAATAAGGAAGCCCCCCCTGCCTCCTCTTCTCTGTTGTCGAACCGTGCCGAATTCGGTTCTAATCCGCTAGAAAGGTTAGAAAGGTGAGGGGGGAGGGCATTCTGTAGATCCTTGTCAACATACCGGGCAAATTTGAAATATCCTGAAAACTCCAGTGAAGCTACGAAATGGTACAACCTGTTTTTTGAGACAGAGCATCCAAAAAGATGCAAAATAGCCTCCAAGAGGTGGGGGAGGGAACGGAACGGGCGACGACACGATCGCGACTCCGGGGTAGCTAACCTACTTGTCTAGCTGAATGCGAGAACCACTTTTTGCACAGGAAAGTGCAAAAAGCCTAGAAGTAAGCTCCTGGGTACACGCACTCAGGTGCTCACTCCTTCAGCTTGGACGATCCCCCCTCCGACCCAATTTTTTCTCGACATGCCATCCATTGTTTTCGGACTTTTTCCAGCGATACAACTCGTTCAACTATGAAAAAAAGCGCAGTTTGGCGACGGGGAGGGGGGCATTCTACATTTTTGCTGTCGACCCATCTATAGAGCCATTTCGTGAGCTAACTAGAGTTGACAAGTTTCACCATGTCGGCTCGATGAGCTTGCTTCAGGTTCACAGGAGTTCGGGCTTCAGTAGAGTGGAACTTGTAAACCGGAACTAACGAAGGAGCGAGAGCGGAAAATGTCCCCCCCTCCACTTGTCGTCGAACCGCGCCAAAAAAACATAGGGAAAATGGCAAATAAATGAAGTGGTAATGTTCGAGAGCTCTACAGGCTACTACAATATCGACAGGAGGAACAAAATGCCCCTTCCGAGCGAGATGACTGATGGATTCTCTCCCTCACAAGTAGAAAAAATGACCAGGTAGGAAGAAAGATCAATAGCAAACGAAATGGCATGAGTCACGCGACTTCAATGAAAACTAGTAGAGACCGCGGGAAAAAAAGAGGTGAAGATGTTTGGGTTTTCACTGTGCAGTTTCGTAAAGCCAGCTCTAGTTCTTTCAAACAGAAAGGGCATTTCTGGCGTTTTGGCTCTCAACGACCACCGCTAGAACAAACCGCAAACATCCGTCAGGATCGAATTTCCAATAAGAGGAACGTGATATTGACGAGCCACTTCAACAAGTGCAGCAGCTTATTCACAGCATTGAAAAAGTGAGCTGATTTCGCGTGGCTCTTGCTTTTTTTGTCCTATTCGATGAAGTCGAATGGCATCGAGTTGGCGCTGTTAGGAAGCCCGAGGCGCGCAGGTGAGAGAGACGCGACATTAAT